CACTGGGATGCCCGAAGTGCACACACTGGGATTCGAACCCGAGACCTTCGCTCTGATACCATGTCAGAATCCCAACCACTAGACCATTGGGATAAAAGGGCTTGTTAAGTAGCGGGTCAGTGCGCCCATAACCCCCCAGGCCAACATGCCTGTAACCCTTCCCTAGGATCAATCGGGGATCACCAGTGGACCTCTGACAGCACCCCCCATTCACACACCCCCTGCTGCACCCCTAGGTTTATTCACACTCCACCCCCTAGCACCACTCCGTCGACTCCCACACACCCACCCCCCTCAGCGGCAGCTGCAGCAGTGGGAGACGGAGTAGGAGGAGGAGCAGGGGATGCCACACACCCGCCACCCCCCACTCGCCACCCCCAAACCCTAACACAGGGCAGGGCCGTAGATGGCGGGTAGGGAGGTTACGGGGGGGGGGGGGGGGGGGGGGCAGGGCCGCGACGAAGACGGGGGCAGGGCTGCAAGGCAGGGCCGCGACGACGACGGGAAGGGCCGACGCGCGGCCCCCCAGGGCGCCGGAACAGGCGGCAGAAGGGGGGCGACGCGCGGCCCTCTGTGTGCCGCGACAGGCGACGAACCTGCCGCGCGCCTCAGGGCGCACGACGGGCAGGGCACCGTCGCGCGCCACGGGGCGCACGACGGGCAGGCAGGCAGGCAGAAAACCGCCGCGCGCCCCTAGTGCGCGGCGGGAAGAAAAAAGGCTGTGCGCCATGGGCGCGCGGCAGGCAGAAAGATAGCGTGCGCCCGAGGCGCGCGATAGGAAGGACAGCAGCAGCGGAAGCATTGGTGGGCCCATCCGCAGGATCGACCCGTGAGGGTCGACCTGCTCTGATTCCATGTTGGAAAACAGTTGAAAGTTAGAAATGAGAAAGAGGGGTTTCACTAGCAAGCAGTTGAGTACATATAGCAAACCCTAAATTGGGCTGTACTCACTATTGAGTACACCACTGCAGGCTAGACAAATATAACATTCTGACAGTTAACTGTCATGCATTTACATCATATACTGGTATGTGCGCATTTAAGTTCAGAGCACTTCAAACATTATGCATATTGAAGCATTATCATCTATGCATAATGCATCTTTATAACTTACATCATTATATTCATCTAAACATCTGATTATATGCATGTATTATATGCATTTCATGATAGCAACGTAGTTATCACTACATCATAAAACATACCGTAAAAAAAAATGCAGCGAACAGTACTGCTACATTGCACGAAACTACAATAATAATTCGTATGGTTTAATAAACTGTAAACAGTGTTCAATACTTCTCAAAAATCATACAATATACCGTAGTAATTGTAGCTTCCAAATTTTGTTTTTATCTTTTAATGGAGAATAAAATATGAAAAAAAAAATTGGCAAAATCGGTCGTAAAAGGTTGCTTCGCAACCCAAAAAACTGAGATAGTGGGGAAGCGAAGGTGTGGGTGCGGTCCGAGAGGAGATCGCAGGCTATGAATACCAAGTGTTACGAGTGCAATTGAGCGAGCGAGCGAGAATTGCACTATCGAAGTAAGAACAACATAATGAGCGAAAGGCATGCGCGAATAATATGTAGCGAACAAGAGTGGTAACGGTAACGCGAGGAATTGGGGTGCGCTACGGGCCTAGCGCCGAGGTTGGGATATGTCGAGGCGGAGGTCCGGAGCGCGGGTTACCAACCGAACCATGAGGTTGTGTCGCATCGTGAACAGTGGCGGGAGTCGTAGTCGAGGCGAGTGTCGCGAGTGGGTAACGTTTCACTGTTTGGGTGCCGATGGCGAGAATGGTCTTGTACGCGGTAAGAAGGGGCGCGAAGTAAGGAAAATGAGTTTTCCTTACACCAGCCCATTAGTCCACATTCGGATAACCTGCGGCAACACAGGGAATCACGCTATTTTCAACTCCCACTTATGTAAATAGAAATATCCTTACAGCTGTGTACTGCGTCAAGTACATCTCTTTTATCGGGTTCCAAAGTTCCCTCTCAACTCGCCAGCTTTTGACCCCGTTTGAATCGCGAGGTGCCCCCAGACCGCGTACAGTGCTGTTCCATTTCCGTTACAGCACTGTACTGTATACAGTAAATGCTCTCGATCTCAAACATCTTCAATGCTCTGTAGCCTCTGTCAGAATCTGTCAGACAACGAAGCAGGTGCACTGACACTCTTCCCGTGTGGTGCTGCTCGGTTGCTGTGTTTGTGCGTTTCCCTGGTGAAAATGGCGGTGGTTTTTGCCAATTTGCGGAGCTTGGATGCTTCCTCATCCACACAATCCGGATGCAAAAGAATCACAGCTCTTCGATCACGCACGGCTCATCGATACACAGGATTGGATACTGCATAACGGTGTCGAGAAATGAGATTCGAGAAACGCTGAACTACACCGCACGATGGATACTGTTCGTCGTTTCATGCGCGAACTGTTGCTAGAGTGTTCTCGTCACTGGCTGTGCGCGATCCGCGTTGGCCACAAGGAGGATCGAGCACATTCCACTGGGACATCGGCAAGCACATTGCCGCCACAAACACATGGGGCAGCTGACTCCGTCGCTACACTGTTCACGTCAGCAAGATAGCCTGAGCATCTGACTCAAGCTTCAGCACCAACGCATCCAGTGCAAAAAAAATGAGTAAAAAAATGGTGATTGTGATTTGTGAGCATCATAACCCTATAGAGCATAGACCCAGGAAACTTTGCGTGTAAAAAGTGAGTAAAAATGGTGATTTGTTTCTATTGTTCGTGTAAATGGCTGCCCGAGATCAGATTTTTGGCCGTCCATCGTCCCGGTCCTAGCGAACACATTCATTTTCCACCCGTCCAAGGGGCTACCTGTCGCGTCAAGCTGGCCAGCGTGCTTGCAAGCATTGATTCCAGAGAATCATGTCATGTGATCCTGACGTGCCTTGGGTGCAACAGCAACCGCAACGTGTTACCGCGTCGATGAGGAGTCGTTGGAGGAATTATGAGTTGCGCGGGCTCCGTTCTCACGCCTCAAAACAGGAGGGAGAATGTCAGAACATGCAGCAGAGCAGAAGCCCTTGATGCTGCATTCTTGTTCCCAAGCAACAGCTTACTTCCTTTCGGATCAGTTGACAAGCACGTTTTTGCAATAAAAAGCGCAGCAGCCATTGATATCTGAAACCGAACCGTGTTCCACGTTCAACTGCAGTGTGTGCATCTCTCTTTCCGCGATCACTCAGTGTAATCTTACATGATCCAGTTTCTTGGTTCGTAGTCTGAAGTTAGAACCAGTCATTTCCTGAGAGGGGAGCTTATCAGCGGCTGAGCTATATCCGCAAACGCGCTTCTTGTCTCCGCCGGACTTGACACGATATTTTCGACCAGAAGCCGCCTTTTTCGCCAACAGAGCACGCAGATCGATTCCGACCATTGATCCCACATCCTCCAGCAACAATGGCGTCTGGAGTTCGCGTGTGCGTGGACCATCACAGCTCGTTAGACGACCCTTCCACGCCGCGCCTATTGGTGGATGACAGCCTGTCGCCGTCGCAGATTATCCGGAGGAAACTAGAAGACGTGGACACGCGCGCGCTCGAGGGCAAGCTTAGACTCCTCGACATGCAGCGACAACTCTCCGCCGTCCGATGCCAGCAGTTCGTCGAAATGCTCGAATCCGAGCTCCAAGCCGCCTCCGTCACGTCAGCAGCGCCGTCACCTGGATTATCGCCGTCGTCGACGTTCCCGTCTGCGTCGAGGCCGAATCGAAGCCTAACGCGCATCGGCTCGCTCGACCACGAAGGCCGGTCCCTTTGGACACGCAGTCACGCCAGCTGCCGGCCAATTACAGACTCAGCCTCCGCGCCGGTCCAGAGATGCGGCTCGGTCGACAGATGCGGATCCGTCGAGCGGGAAAGCAGCGGCAGGGGATTCGCGAGCTGGAATGACGCTGAAACCGGCGGCAGCGGCTCGACGGGTCGACGCTCCCTCGACGTGGGTAATGGAGGCGGGAGCTGGAGAGACGATATGAGTTTCTATCAGGAGCCGCGTTCGCTCAGTCGCAGTCACACCAACCCGCCGTCGCCGGCTAGCCGGTCGCCCAGGAGCCCGCGCTGCAGCAGTCCGCGGCACGCCAGTCACGCCGCGGTGCGGCACAAATCGTTGCTGCGCCACTCGAGCCTGCAGGTTGGGCACGTCGAACCCGCCTTGTGACTCCGCCGAATGTGATTATATGGAACGTGACTTTACCGAATGTGACTCAGGCCGACACTGAGAGTCACTGGGAAACCCTAAACTCGGCCTACGGCCGTGATACTACAGCGATTTGTGCCTCAAAACGGGGGAGCGGAAGAGCTGCAGGGAGGCGCAGAGGCGAGGCGCTGAAGCTGCTGCTACCTAACCGTTGTAAACACGGACATACCACCCCATTTCTGTGATAGATACTCTTTAGCTGATCAACCTTCATAGACTTCTTGTAAATGACACCCATTTGTGTGTCTCACCCTAATCTATAATAATATTTTTTTGTCAATTTTTGACAATTTACACTTCGTTCGCATGTGCTTGGAACGAATCAAAGATATGAAACACAGTAAGCAGGCAAGAGGAATCAGCGGAACCTTTCCATAGAGCATCAAATCCACATCAAGCCATCTGACGCCGAACCACAGAGCGGATGAATTCACTCCAGTAGTCCCCACCCGACACGACACTCGCTCGTGCTCGCGCCCCTGCCCGTTCTCGTGCCACTGCCGCGGATGTAACGCAACGGGTCGACGTGAGACAAGGGGAGACGAGCGTCATGACGCGCGCATGTCGCGCTAAGGTCGTGCCGGCCGGTAAGCGCACCGATTGACACGCCTCGGAGTTAAACGCGCAGGGAATGCCTCCGCGCCGCTGCGCGCGTCCTTTTTTCGAGGCGTCTGATAGCGCGTACAAAGGATGCCGTGCCGCTGTCAGCAGGGACCGTGGCGGGGCGGTCCTCTCGGCGAATCTGACAGAAGTCGCGACGCTTTTGACCGCGCCGTTTACGATGACGCCGCGCCGTTCATATCGCCGTCAGAACATCCCCGCCGTTCCAGCGCGCCACTCCGCGCGCCCTTCAGTATTGGCGGCGTCCGCCACCTGCGCCATCTGCGCCTGCTGCTGCTGGCGCTCGTGATCGCCGCGGCGGACCTCCTTTTCCCCGCCTGCTCCTGGCGCAGCTTCCGCCTGCTGCGCGCAAGGGGCGGAGACTTTCCGCCCACGGGGAACATGGCGCCGTTGACTCCGTTGACTCCGTTGAACGCCTCATATGGCCACGTCAGCTGCTCCGTCACTGCTCTCCGGTGAGATCCACTGAGGGAAGAGCCAGTGAGGAGAGAGCCCTTGGATGATGATGGCATGATGGTGTGATTGCGCGGCCACTCCTCTGGCATCTCTTCTGGTTCTTCCCCTTCCATCCTGCTTTCTTACTGATGACCTGAATGACCCATTTCCTCTCTTTTTTTCCGCTCCTCTTTCCCGTTTCTCTTAACCCCATCTCCCGCCCCATACCCCATGCAACTGTCCTCGCACATACACCCCCCACCAACACCTTTATCTCACGGTGCTGTGCGGCTGATTGCGGTGGAGAGCGGCACCAGGCATCTCAGCAGCATGCTCTCCCTCCCCTCGCCCTCCCCACACCTCCCCCTCTTCGCATTGCTCCTCCCGCCCCTCAACCCCACATCCTCCCCGCTGCTGACACCACCACCAGCCACAGCACCACTGGCAGCACCACTGGCAGCACCACTGGCAGCACTACTGGCAGCACCATCACGTGCACCAGCGCCAGCACCAGAACGTGCCCCTCTTCCTCCGCTCCCCCCCATTCCTGCTGCCACCTCCCCTGCACTACCTCCCCTTCCTCCAACCCCCCCTGCCCTGACTCCCTCTGCCCCACCCCCATACCCCACTTCCACCGCTCCCAACTCCTTAGCATCCCCACTTCCTCCGCCTCCCCCGATTCTCTCTCCCCCTTCACCGCCCCTCGCCGCCTGCCCGCCGTCCCGCCTCTATCTACCACAAGCCGTGGCTGCTGCAGCAGGGGATGGCGCCAACGCAATAGCAGCAGCAGGGGTTAGTGCTAATGCATCCACCCCAACAGCAACAGCAGCAGCAGCAGCAGCAGCAGCAGCAGCAGCAGCAGCAGCAGCAGCAGCAGCAGCAGCAGCAGCAGCAGCAGCAGCAGCAGCAGCAGCAGCAGCAGCAGCAGCAGCAGCAGCAGCAGCAGCAGCAGCAGCAGCAGCAGCAGCAGCAGCAGCAGCAGCAGCAGCAGCAGGGGTTAGCGCTAATGCGTCCACCCCAACAGCAACAGCAGCAGCAGCAGCAGCAGCGCCTCCCTTACAGTGGACGCCCCAGGCGCATAAGTACATTCTCATGCACTGCGACAGCGGCCAGGTGACATGCTTGCCGCTCGCCTGTTGTGCTACCTGCTGCCTGCTGTCCAAACTATTATGCACCTCCTCTTCTCATCTCTCCTTCCACTTCCTTCCATTAAATTGTTATCTGCCTTGCCCTTCTCCTCCCTCCCACAATGCAGATCAGCAACTGGGTGCACTGCACTCGCATGCACCTACTCTTTGCCGGCCTTCATTCAGACGTCTAACGAATCGTCCCTGCCTTGCCCCTCTTGACCCTCGCACCGTGCCGTGCAGATCAGCAACTGGGTGCACTGCATTCGCACGCACCTACTCTTTGCCGGTCTGCTCAGCCGCACCCTCCTTGTGAACGCCCTGCCATTCGAAACCAAGCGAGCTTACAACTACTCTCTCCTCTTCGACATCTCGCATGCACGGCAGTGCTACGGCTCCAGCGCTGTACAGACCACTGAAGAGTACTATAACGAGTATGGCAAAAAGGTGGAGCTGGATCGAGTGCTGTGCTGGAGGTATGGGTCGATACCCGCTACAGCGCGTGATATGAAGACTTACGTGCATATACCCGACGATGTGAATATAAAAGGTCATGTATCCCAGGTAGCGTCGGGAACACTCGAGAAGTTTCACAAGTTTTTCAATTCGCATACGGGCCATGCGGATGTGATATTACTGGGGGATTTATACAGCTACCCTCATTTTCAAGGCTTGGAGCACCCCTTGGCTTGGGGCGACCTTCCTTTTCAACGGCTGCCCGGTTGCCCGAGCACACTTGCCGTGCAGCCAGACGAGCGGATTTTCCGGGCAGCCGAAGAATTCGAACAGCAGAAATTTGGGCAGAAACCATTCTTGAGCCTGCACATGAGGGCGGGGGACCTGCGGGCGAGCTGTGAGCGGCAGCAGCTGGACGTGGGGTGCCGGCTGGGGCCTCATCAGGTGGTGGCGTGCGTCAAGAGGAAGCTCAGACTGCACCGCCTCATGCACCTCTTCATCGCCACCAATGCTGCCCACCAGGAGGTAAGCTTGGGGAAAGAAGAAATTAATAAATGCGTTCAAAAGAAGAAGAAGAAGAAGAAGAAGAAGAAGAAGAAAAAAAGTGCTCTGGGAATTCCCTTCCTTCCTTTCTCTTCTCATCTTGCAAACTCATCCCTCGATACAGCTGATTCGGCACCTGTGAAAGCTTATGCCATAGTGCATGCCATAGCTCATGCCATAGCTCATGCCATAGCGCATGCCATAGCTCATGCCATAGCTCATGCCATAGCTCATGCCATAGCTCATGCCATAGCTCATGCCATTGCGCATGCCATAGCTCATGCCATAGCTCATGCCATAGCTCATGCCATAGCTCATGCCATAGCTCATGCCATAGCTCATGCCATAGCTCATGCCATAGCTCATACCATAGCTCATGCCATAGCTCATGCCATAGCTCATGCCATAGCTCTATTTCAACCAATCCACTCGCTTCCCCTTCTCGCACCTCCGTTCCTCATCACCAGGTGCAGCAGGTGAAGCAGCTGTTTCAAGCCAGAGACCCCGCCCCACCACCGCCCCCAGGAGCACCCATCCTCCCTCCAGGCCTCACCTTCCAAGTGGTAACCGGTGTGCACGGTTGGCCGGGGCTGAAGCGGTGGTTCGGTGCACTGGATGACACACAGTTGAAGCAGGTAGAGGCAGAGGTGGAAAAGGTGGTGGCGGTGCGAGGCACTGTGTTCCAAGGCACGTGCACGTCTACCTTCTCCCTGGATGTGGAGAGAATGAGGCTGGCCCTGGGAAGAGGTAGCTGCCACGACTCATTTGTGTGCGATGAGGAGATAGCGGCGGGCGAGGTGGTGAATGAGTCGGAGAGGAAAGGCTGCGGGATGGAGTTTCTCTTCTGGTAGCACACTGGTGGGGGGAGTGTGTTCCAAAGCACGTATATGTCTATCCTGTCCCTGAATGTGGAGAGAATGAGGCTGGCCTTCGGAGAAGGGGTAGGTGCCATGCCATGGCTCCTTAGTGTGTAACGAGGAGATAGTGGCATGGCAGCTGGTGAATGATTTGAAGAAAGGGCGCCCCACGGAGTTTCTCTTCTGGTATGGTAATACTGTGGCTGGTGTGTGTTGTGTTGCTCACTTGTATCATGAAACACATTGTAAGGTCCTGGGTGCAGTGGGTTGGTTGGGCAGGAAGAGAAGCCAGCTCGGAGCTGTGCAATGCAGCGTCAATGCTCTACACGCAGCAGGTGTTAGTGGAATATACCATACGCTCAACACCACACACTTCTCCTCTCCACATTCATCAATAAAACCCTTTGGGCAGCGACGCATGCATGACCTGCTTGTGCCTGGAAGATCCAAATACTAATTGTTGAACAACCCCTCCACTGCTGCTACGCCTCCACTGCAGCCTGCATGCACCCCAGCCAGAGTCATGGCCCTCGGAGGTGCGTCCTGCTGCTGCTGCCTCTAGGAGGAGGCAGGAGGGGCAGAGAGGCTCTTGGAGACGATCTCGTAGACATTCTCTGAGAGACCCTCTGCTGCTAGGATGCGCTCCAACTCCACCTGGTGGCACACAGCGGAGAAGCGTGGGGGAGGGAGGGGAGAGCGAGTGAGAAGTTTTGAAGTGCCTCAAGACATGCTCATTGGATCGGAGGGAGCAGGGGCCCGAGGGCAAACGGATCGGGTGCACATGCGGAGGAGCGGGATAACGAAAAGGAGCGAGTGAGAATTGTTACGCAAGTGGGGAGAACCTAGTAAGACGAAAGGCAGGGGTGTACAGGGCAGGAGGGTGTTGGGGTGGGCAAGAGGAGAGAAGGGCGGGAAGAGGGGGGAAAGACTAGGAGTCCAGGGAGGTATAGCCATGCCATGCATGCACCCGAGTTAGAGCCTGCCTGGCCTCGTTGTAGCGGCGCCAGCGGGTGAATGCGAACAAAAAAAGTGAACAGCCACCTGCGCTCTGAGAAACGAGACACCTAATCGCACACACCTTAGCCAATGCCTGGCGGGCCTCGTCGTAGCGGCGCCAGCGAGTGAACGCAGAGACCATGCGGGCAGCCACCTGTGCGTTGATCTTGTCGAGCTGCAACACCACGTCTGCCAGGAAGCGGTACCCACTGCCGTCCACCGCGTGCAGGTTCACCGCAGATGAGGTGAAACCGCCGATGAGCGAGTACACCTGGGGGCATGGAGGAGAACGGGAGGGAGGCGCGAAGGAGGGCAGGGAGAAGGGAGGGAGGAAGGGAGGTGAAGGTGTCTGGCAGGAAGCGGTAGCCACTGCCGTCCACGGCGTGCAGGTTCACCTGGTGAAACCGCCGATGAGGGAGTACACCTGGTGAGATCGAGGAGGCCGGGATGGTGGAAGGGAGGGTGGGATGAAGGGCAGGCGGGGGGAGGGCAGGGGGGGATGGACGGTGAGAGCAACCTTGTTGGGTTCGGTGATGATGAATGCAGGGTGCTCCATGAGCCTCTTGACCACCTCCACATTGTGGGAGCAACTCACCTTGTTGGGTTCGGTGATGATGCAAGCGGGGTGCTCCATGAGCCGCTTCACTGCCTCCACATTGCCGGGGATGGATGATGATGTAGGCAGCAGGTCAAGTGTAAAAACCCTGAGTGATAAATAGGGCACGGAAGGCCTGTGCATGTGCATGTGGGAGTGGGAGCAACTCACCTTGTTGGGTTCCGTGATGATGAAAGCAGGGTGCTCCATGAGCCTCTTCACCGCCTCCACGTTGCCAGGGATGGACGAGGCTGCCTGCAGTGACAACCACTTGTTCATCACCAGCCCGTCGTGCTTCCACTGCTCGTAGAACGCCTGCAGCGCCTCCTCCCGGGCGGCGCCGGGGTTCAGGCAGAGGGCGGCCAGGGCGGCGAACTGGTCCGTCATGTTGCTCGCTGCCCGGAACTCCGACAGGGCGAGCGCACCAGAGGCCTCGTCGTCCAGCGATGCCAGGTACACTGCAGGAAAGGGGGGTGGAAGAGGGTAGGAGCGAGATGAGGGGAGGCGAGATGGAGATGGGAGGAGGGGGCATGCAGTGAGAGCATCAGGCATGGAGTTGAAGGGACAGAGAGGAGGCTTTGGGAGATGGGGATGGGGTATGAATGAAAGGCGATGGCATCACGGCTGCTGCTGTGGCTGCGAGACTCACAGAGAGCAGCGTTTTTGAGCGAGCGGCGTGCCATGCTGGCGTGCTCAGGGCTGTACGCCTCCCCTTCCGGCGCCCTGTTGCTCTCCACCTGGGGGGGGGGGGAAGGGTGGGGGGTTGGGGACGCACGGGGCAAGCAAGCGACACATACCGAGAGCATGGGAGTGAGGGGCGCGAATAGGCAGTAAGGGATGGCCCTACCAGAGCCTCCAGTGCATGTTTTTCTCCTAATTATTATAATTACTTTCAAATAAGCGTTTGGGCCTACCAGAGCCTCGAGTGTGGGGCGCAGGCGGGTGGCGATCTGCTTAACACAGAACTTGCGGACGGCATGCACGGCATCCGGGTCGGCATACGGCGTCATGAGGTCGGCAATCTCACTCTCGCCTGGCAGGGAGATTACCCGCGCGATGAACATCTGTGTCATGCACATTGCACGTTGACAGGGAAAGGAAGAAAAACACAAGGGCTCAGTCGAGAAGCCGTGTGCAGCTTGGGTGTGAGTTGCTGCCAGCCTACCCTGCAACTGCTAGGTGCTGACACACGGCACATGACTACGCCTTGCAAGAACAAGATCCTGGAGGACAAGGTGCGGTGGGAAAAGGGGGGGTGGGTGGAGGGCAGGTTTTTGAGTCTACTCAGAAGTCAGCGCATCACACGGTACATGACTCTACGCCTTGCAAGAACAAGAGCCGCGTGACCCGCACCTTGTCCAGTGACGTGTCATCCAGGATCTTGGCGAGGGCGTCAGTGAAGTCATCCTCCATATGGAGCGGCTTGTTACTGCGATAGTCGTCCACCATCCTCAGCAGCATTTTGCGCGCCAGCACCTGGCATGCCTCCCACCTGCCATGGCGATTACGGGAGGGAGAGTGAGGAAGAAACAGAACAAGAATATGAGAAACACAGAAAGAGGGAGGAGAAAAAGGAAGGCGAGGGTTTGTTAGAACCATTGTGATGGGCGAAATAAGAATGCATATGGTAACCAGTCAAGTAACCAGTCAAGTAACCAGTCAAGTAACCAGTCAAGTAACCAGTCAGGTTACCAGTCAGGTTGTAAGGCGTGAGGGGACACCTGTTGAACTCATCAGAGTCATTGGCGAGGAGGAAGAGCCAATCGGCATGCGACAGGTCAGCGTTGAGGCGCACGGGGGCACTGAAGCCACGGAGCAGCGAGGGCACGGGGCGGTGCGGCACGTCCGTGAAGGTGAAATCCTGCTCTGCCTGTTGGTGTGCATGGGGCAAGGGTGAGTGGTGGGGATGGGCGGGATGGATCGTGTGTGGAAGAACAAGGAAGGGGTGTGTGGCACGTCCGTGAAGGGGAAATCCTGCTCTGCCTGTTGGAGCACATCAGGGAGGGCATGGGTGATTGGACGGTGGGTGGACAAGAGAGAAATTATATTTGTTTTTTTCCAACCAACCACGGGCAGCATAAACATACCCTTGCCACCAGGCACCAAACATGTCAGACACGGCAGCACATGCCCACCTGTGTCTCTTTGAATCCCCCTCTTCCCTTGCCCACCCCTACTCTCTCTTCCCTGCAGACCTTGTTGAATCGCAGCACGGTGGTGGTGGGGCCATCCAAGTCAGTGAGCCTCGCCCCATCGAACACGTGCAGCAGCGCCATGTCCTTGCCGTCTGGCCCCACCAGCCCCACGGCGAGTGGAATGAGCACGGGCAGCTTGCTGTCCTGCCCGGGCGTGGCTGGGATCTCCTGCCTGCGAGGTGGTGGCAACGGAGAAGAACGGGGGCAGGGGGAGCAGTCAAAGGGCAAGGGAGCGGAGAGTGCGTGTGAGCACGCAAGAACAGCGAGAGCTGCTTGCTCCCACCAGCCCCACGGCGAGTGGAATGAGCATGGGCAGCTTGTTGTCCTGCCCGGGCGTGGCTGGGATTTCCTGCCTGCGGGATGGTGGCAAGAGAGGAGAGTTGAGGTGCAATTAAAAGAGTTGAGAAGCTTGAGTTGACGTTGAGCGCTCTTGCCGCTCAAGGGGGGGAGAACCAGCCCAAACGTACATCACCGCAAGGTGAATGGTATGGCTCAAATCTTGAGTCAATTAGGAAATCTACATGCATCATTCCAAGGCGAATGGCGAGGCTTACTATCAGTGCAGTATGGCTCAAATCTTGAGTCAATTAGGAAATCTACATGCATCATTCCAAGGCGAATGGCGAGGCTTACTTGCAGTGCAGGGTGAAGGTGTGTTCCTTCTCGTTGTACGACGATGTCACTGTCACCACGGGTGTGCCTGCCTGGGACAACCTGTGGCAAGTTAACACAACAAAATGGCAGGGTCTAACTTTGAGGCGCCTAAAAAGTAGACTGGCAACGCGGAACAACCATGCACTGTTTTGATGCAAGGAGGTCAAGAATGGCAGCTGTGCGCATCTATGCGAGTGGGAGCACAGACGTGCATGTGGCAGCATACAGTGCAGGACAGAGAAAGAAGAGAGACGCCAACAGACAGATGGAACCAAGGACAGGCAAAAAGGGATTAGAGGGGAAGAAATAAGACTAGTAGGAACAGGGATGAGGGAAGAGGTGCAGGGGATGAGAGGCGAGCGGGTACGTCCCTTCTAGTCTCATGGGCATGAGTGGCTACGAGTGGGAACGTACCAGGGCTTGAAGCCTTCGAGCTTGTCGTTATTGGCATCTGCCATGGCGGCAAAGAAGTCATCACACGTCACTGCCTGCCCGTCGTGGCGCTCGAAATACAGATCCATGCCCTGCATGCCAAGGGGGAGAGAGAGAGAGATCATAGATGCTATTTAAAAAGAAGTCATCGCACGTCACTGCCTGCCCGTCGTGCCGCTCAAAGTAGAGGTCCATGCCCTGCATGCCAAGGGGGAACGCGCACAAAGGATATCTTAGAAAGATGTCTCAAACCATTCACTGCCTGTGTGCCCATCGTGGCGCTCAAAGTACAGGTCCATGCCCTGCATGCCAAGGGGGAGAGAGCATAGAGTGAATACTCTTGAAGCGCCTAGGGTGTCATGCTGCGCAACGTACATATGCGAGCACAGAGTTAGGGACCAGGAAATGAAGGGCAGGCTATGTATAGGGTGTACCAATCTCAGTTGAAAGAATCTAGCGAAGAAGTGAAATATAGCAATCAGAAACGATTTTCCATGCTCCAGGACCCCCTAAACTCCCCAATCCCCCACACTCTCACCCACACCACATTCCGGCCGCTTGTCATCGCATGACATGACACAGCACGGCATGGCACAGCATGGCACGGCGGTGTGCATCTGGCACACAGGCAGGGGAGTGTGGAGCTGCACTGACCTTGTTTTGAGACGTCTCAAAACTGTGGAGCTGCACTGACCTTCCTGAAGCCATCTTTGCCCAGCAGCGTCTGGTACATCTTCACCACCTCCGCCCCCTGGTGTGTACCGTGCAGTATAGCAGGCATTGGGCAAGGCATGTGCAAGCATGGAGCATACCATGTACATGATGAGCAATGCCATATGCATGGATGCACAATGCCGCCATGCCATGTCATTCCATCCCATTTCATGCCAAGCCCATGCAGAAAGAGCACATAGAGAGAACGGGTTGACTAATAAAGCCAAGCAGACATAGGCCAGCACAACACACGGAGACACGCACGCCAGCATGCCAAAACACCAGACATTCTTGAGGGGACGGCATGGTGATGCCATGGGGCGAAATAGCAATGCGATGCAGCAGTGTGAAGTTACAAGGGGAGGAAACAACGAGGGGGGAAGGGGGGGGCGGGAGCAAGAGAAGGCGGGAAAGGGAGAAGGGAGAGGGGGCTGCTGGGGGAGTGGGGGAGTAGGAAGAGGGGAGTGCGAAGAGAGGGTAAAGGAGGATCACCTTCTCATAGACGGTAACTGGTGTGTCAAGTCGTAGCAGTCAAGCACAGCGTTGTTGATTGATGATCGATCCATGTGGGGTTGCACGGGAGGAGATTTTGAGGTGATTGCAGCACGATGCACATGGGAGAAACAGCGGAGACACACAGGACCAGAGGTGCAAGAATAAACACGCATGCGGAAACGCAATGGTTGAGCGGGGGAGGGGGAAACACGTGGAACAAGAATCAGGAGGGAGGAGAATTTAAGCAAAATCGCAAAAGAGGGTGTGAGTGAGAGTGGAGCCTGGAGAGGAGAGCACACCTGTGTAGAAGTTGTCCATCTGCAGTCATGGGACGAGCACGCAGAATGGCACAAACAAAGGAAGACTTCTTAGTAAACAATGGTATGAACTAAGAACTTTTAGTTGGCATGTAGAGCAATGGTCTCCCACGCACTGCTGCTCACTGCTCACCTTGATGTAAGAGCTGGGGCGCACCGGGTGCGCCATGGGGCCCGCATCCTGTGAGGGGGCACACAAAAGGCAAAAGAAAGTTCAAACGTCTCACACAGAGAAGACTCAAAGAGCGCAAGGGAACATGCATGCTCATGTGGTAGGAATTAAAAATCAGGAGTCAGCTCAAAGCACGCATGTTGAAGATACTAGAAAGGATTCCTGGAAGCGAGCATTGTGAAGACCGCATGAAGGAAGTTGTGATGGAGAGGGTCACACCTCGGAGAACTGGCGGGCGCGCAGCACTGCCACGTTGGCAATCCGCTCCACTGCACGGCAATTCATGTCCGATGAGAACTCCTGAGGGGTTGAGATGGGGTGGGATGGGATGATATGCGGTGGAATGGGGTTGAGGCGACATGGCCATCTTGCCTATGCGCTTCACTGCATGTCTGTTGATGTTACATGAGAACTCCGGGGGGACGGGAAGGAGGGGTGGGATGGGATGACTGCTACACATGCCCCACGCCATGCTGTATGCTTGCGCACACAGCATGGCATGCCCAAGACCAAGCCACCACCGGTGCGCCTCCGCCACGCCCCACCACGCCCCACCCTGCCCCACCAAGCCCCGCCATGCCCCACCATGCCCAACCGTGCCCCACCGCGCCTCACCACACCCCACCTGGTCGCGGAACACAGTGAGCCCCTCCTTAAGTGTCAGCTGGAACCAGTCGCGGCATGTCACCCTGGCAGATGGTGAGGGGGGAAAGGGCGAGGAGGCGAGAGGGGAGGAGTCCAGAATGGGAGAGCAGCGCCAGGGCAGAAGAGAGGCAGAGATCGGTGAGAAGCCAGAGACTACAGTACAGGCAGGATATAAGTAAGAAGAGGCACCTGTTAGGCAAGGCGATCACAAAATGCTTGACAAAGAGGGGTGTGATGGTTGACATGTGCTGCTGCTGGCAAGTTCGTTTGACCTGGTGGACATGTGCTGCTGCTGGCAAGTTCGTTTGACCTGGTGGACATGTGCTGCTGCTGGCAAGTTCGTTTGACCTGGTGGACATGTGCTGCTGCTGGCAAGTTCGTTTGACCTGGTGGACATGTGCTGCTGCTGGCAAGTTCGTTTGACCTGGTGGACATGTGCTGCTGCTGGCAAGTTCGTTTGACCTGGTCTGGTGGACATGTGCTGCTGCTGGCAAGTTCGTTTGACCTGGTGGACATGTGCTGCTGCTGGCAAGTTCGTTTGACCTGGCCTGGTGGACATGTGCTGCTGCTGGCAAGTTCGTTTGACCTGGTGGACATGTGCTGCTGCTGGCAAGTTCGTTTGACCTGGTGGACATGTGCTGCTGCTGGCAAGTTCGTTTGACCTGGTGGACATGTGCTGCTGCTGGCAAGTTCGTTTGACCTGGTTGACATGTGCTGCTGCTGGCAAGTTCGTTTGGCCTGGTTGACATGTGCTGCTGCTGGCAAGTTCGTTTGACCTGGTGGACATGTGCTGCTGCTGGCAAGTTCGTTTGACCTGGTGGACATGTGCTGCTGCTGGCAAGTTCGTTTGACCTGGTGGACATGTGCTGCTGCTGGCAAGTTCGTTTGACCTGGTTGACATGTGCTGCTGCTGGCAAGTTCGTTTGGCCTGGTTGACATGTGCTGCTGCTGGCAAGTTCGTTTGACCTGGTGGACATGTGCTGCTGCTGGCAAGTTCGTTTGACCTGGTTGACATGTGCTGCTGCTGGCAAGTTCGTTTGGCCTGGTTGACATGTGCTGCTGCTGGCAAGTTCGTTTGACCTGGTGGACATGTGCTGCTGCTGGCAAGTTCGTTTGACCTGGTTGACATGTGCTATCCTGGTAGCAGTGCAGCAAGAGGGTCACCTGTTGCCGGTCCAGTTGTGGAAGTACTGGTGAGCAGGGAGCCATGTGCGCATGAAGCCCGAGATTGGGGGGCAGAGAGGAGCAACAGGGGGTGATGGAGACACGGCACAAACCACCATCCCCCATCCCCTCGTACACCAATTCACACCAACCCGCATAAAGCACACACACATACCCCCCGCTCCCCCCCACATTTCCCTTTCCCAGCACACATACGCCCACCTCACAAACACATACGCCCACACCACACGCACACACACAAATGAATTTTCTAAATGATTCACTAGATTCGCTGACGAGACGATAGATCGCATAAGGGGAGCAGGGAGAAGGGGGGAGTAAACAAAGTAGCAGGAGTCGAAGGGGAGCAGGGAGAAGGGGGGGAGTGGGAGCGGGAGGGGGAGGGGGAAGAGCGGTGGGGAGGGGAGAGGGAGGGGGAGAGAGAGAGGGAAGGGGAGTGGGAGGGGGAGGGTGAGCGGGAGTGGGATGGGAGGGGGAGTGGGAGGGGAGAAGGGGGTGGGAGAGGAGAAGGGGTTGGGAGGGGAGAAGGGGGTTGGGAGGGGCAAAGCAGCAAGGGAGAGGCAGGCAAGGCATGAAGGGCGCACCTCGTGGGCAATAACCCCCTCGATGGCCGCATAGTCTCCATCCGTGGCTGTCTCTGGTGACGCCAGCACCAGCCGCGAGTTGAATATCTGCCGTGTGTGAAGGGCGAGACGGGGAGAGAGTCAAGAGGGGCAAGAGGGGCGAGCAGCGCGAGAGAGGCAAGAAGGACAGGGAGAAGGCAGAGGAGACGCGAGAGGCCTGAAAGAACGGCCTAACAGGAGAATGCAAGATGCAGGACACAGGACTACCAACCACAGAAAGTGGGTGCACAAAACGCCAATAATAGATGCATTACTAGTGGCAGATGAAACGCTAGTGGCAGATGAAACGCTAGTGGGAGATGAAACGCTAGTGGAAGTTGAAACACTAGTGGCACATGAAACGCCGTGTGTAGAGCACTGGAGAATCTCAAATTGGCGGCACTCACGTTGAGGCTCTTGTTCTCCATGGCCCCCATGTTGAAGTCCGGCACCTGGCGATCAATGGAGGGCGTGCGGAGAGAGCGGAATTTTGGGTGAACGGGAGGGGAGGAGGGTGGTTTGACAAGGAAAGAGGAGCGTGGGTGGGGGGGGTGGGCGAGGGGGTCACGAGCAGAACAAGCAAACCTGCAGAATTTTGGAAGAAAGGCACATCGAACGGCAGCACAAAGCGATGAGGGACACAGTCCTACCTCGAAACATCCATGCGCCACTCCCCCATCCCCTTCCCACCCTCAGAACGCACAGTGGTACTCCGCCCTCACATCGCACACACACTCGCCCTCAGCACGCACACTGGTACCCCCCCACCCCCTCTTCCCCCATTGAGCTTCAGCACCCACCGCAACAACGTTGAAGAGGTGAAGATCGTACTCCCTGCCAAACACCTGCAGCACAGCAGCACGCACGCCACACACTTAGGCAAGCAGAGACAAACAAGAGCATCAACCACATGTCATTGCACTGCACTGCACTGCACTGCACTGCACTGCACTGCACTGCACTGCTCACACCAACACTCAAACAATCCCTGCTTCGGGCAGCATCACAACGAACGCCCCTGCCGTTTCAACCTATCCCCGTCCGTCCTACAGCGGAGGACCTCCAGAACAAATTCCCCTCACCCCCCACCCCCCACCGCCCCCATTCCTCCATCCTCCACCCCACCCATCCCCCAATCCCCCCCACCCCAACCATCCCCCAATCCCCCCCACCCCACCCATCCCCCAATCCCCCCCACCCCACCCATCCCCCCATCCTCCCATCCCCAACCCCCTTATTCCCCTGTCTTCCTCACCTCCTCGTCCCACCGGAACGACTCCTTGAGCGACTTCATGGCATGAGCCGTGCGGCCCTCGTCGCCCGCATTCACCCAAATTCTCAGCGCCACCTCCCTCCCGCCGCACGTCACAAACTTATCCTCGCAGCACACCAGCTTCCCCGCCACCAGCGCAAACAGGTAACACGGCTTCGGCCACGGGTCCTCCCACACCGCATAATGCCGCGCACCCTCCCCTTGGCCCAGCATGCCTGCGTCGATCTGGTTACCGTTGGAGAGCAGCACGGGGCAGGCGCTGTGGTCAGCCTCCATGCGCACGGTGAAACGGGACATGACGTCGGGGCGGTCCTGGTAGTACGTGATGCGCCGGAAGCCCTCCGCCTCGCACTGCGTGCAGAAGTTGCCACTCGACCGGTACAGACCCTGTTGCAGGGGGTGAGGGGGGGCAACGTGGCACGAAACCATGAGAGCAGGATGAGACGAATTCCTTCCACAGCACGCCCAAGCAGGCCGATACGCCGGAAGCCCTCCGCCTCGCACTGCGTGCAGAAGTTGCCGCTTGAGCAGTACAGCCCCTGGTGCAAGAAGTGGGGGGGGAGCGTGGCATGAAACCATGAGAGCAGGATGAGACGACTTCCGCACCAACCCCTTGGGCAGCACGCCCAAGCAGGCCGATGTGCCGAAAGCCCTCCGCCTCACACTGCGTGCACAAGTTGCTGCTTCGCCGGTACAGACCCTGTTGCCCGCCCGGCAATCAGTTTGTTGGTCAGTCTGTCAGTCAGTCAGTCAGTCAGGCGGTCAAACGGTCCACATCATGTGGGTGAGCGTGTGCGCGGATGGAGGGGAATGTGGATTGGGGCAAGAGGTGAGGCGGGAGCAGGTGGCACGAAGCCATGTGGATGCAGGCAGGACCAGGTAGACTGACTTGTACTGTGGAAAACAAACCACACCCCCAGGCCACCCAAGCATTGAGATAGTGATAACAGGAGCACAGGTGGGCGGGTGAACGAGCAAGGAGTTGAAGCGATGTAGACTCGGAATGGATAATATGATAGGGCAGAGTGCCCCACAGGCGGATGCACCACACCACACAAAGGCTGCATGCCACATGCAGACCCTCATCACACAATGGGGGCGAGTGGGGTACCTCGAGGGATGTGTTGGCAGCGGGGTTGATGCGAGTGACGATGGCGAGGGTGAAGGGCGATGCAGGCGGGGCGAGCAGAGTGAGCTTCTTGCCTGTCTTCACATACTCCTCCGCCTGCCAGCGCGCCACACAGTGGATAGATAGAATAGGTCAGAACAGCAAAACTCCGCAAAAGTTCCACCACACTCCAGGAGAAGCAGGTGGGGAGTGGGGTGAACAGAAACGATGCTTTCAGTCAGCACGCCCTTCTCCATAAGCAGCCCAGCCCACAAGCCTGTGAAACTGCACCCTATTCGTAATCATTCCGCTTCGAAACTCACCAGCACATCAGCGCCGTTGATCTGCAGCGACACCAGCTCCAAATCGTGGCCGTCCAACACGAGCGGCGCAGACCCATTTTCTGATAATCAGACAAAGAATAGAAAAACAATGAGCCGATGACTTCATGTAGGAAGCGCAAGTGATGCAAAAGTCAGACGACCCTCCTTGGCACTGTCGAACCAACCCAGCGACGGGCCGAAACCAGTTTGTGACCACTAGTGGTGGCCTAGCACCGCCCTCGCTCACCTGGCTTGTCCGCCTTGTCATTCGCAACAACGGTGATGGCGGACTTGACGAGGGTGTAGTCGTCATGCAGGTCGAAATCCAGCGACACCTGACGATACAGCATGATATGTTCAGTTAGGTGTGGGAAAGGGGAAGGGTAAAGAAGGCTCGCGACACATGCCATCACAGGAGAAGGCGAACGCCTAGTCTTGACAGCGGGCTACGTGTAGAAAGTGGATTTTTGAGACGTCTCAACTCAAAAACGCCTAGTCTTGATAGCGGGCTACTGCAATCATGTCAGGACTTGACGAGGGTGGAGTCGTCATGCAGATCGAAATCCAGCGACACCTGATGATACAACGCAAGATGTAGAATTCAAAGGGGACAGGGAAAAGAAGGCTCTCACGACGCACGGGGCAACTGAAAGAAAGTGAAGGCCTACTCGTAGTAGCGAGAGAGTGCAATGTTTTCAACCCAGTCAACCCAGTCAATGCAGTCAACCCAGTCAACCCACGGATCTCACCTTGTCGAAGAGGTACGAAGGCGGCTTGTAGTTGGCGAGGAAGATTTCCTGCGGCTTCTCCTCATCGGCCTCCGCCGCCGCGCCCTCGTTGGCGGCGACCGCCAGACCCGCTACCGCGCCATCGGCGGACGCAGCCGCCTCCTCCCGAGCCGCAGCCTCCTCCGTCATTTGCTGCACGGGAATAAGGGATGTGGTAAGAATGAATTAATTAACTTTAGTCAGTGAACAGCGTCGCCAATGAAAAAACTAACGAAAGCATTGGAGCAACTTGGAATGTCGCGGACAGGAATTCGCTAAGCTGTCGGCTCAAGCACTGCAAATTTGCGTAGCGCGTAACATAGCGCGTAAGATCCCCAAATGTCCAGAAGCATCGAGGGGGATCTAACCTGCGTGTTAGAGCCGGACGAGAAGCCGCGGATGGGGCTCGGCGCAGATCCGATCGCAGCACCGAATCCGATCCCTGACGTCGCGACAGCACCAGAAACGGGTCCTGCGGCGCCAGCGATGGCAGATGCTGCACTTCCAACCGTCGATTTGCTCCCGCCGGGCGATGCAACGGTCGTCGCAGGCGGCTGCGTGAGACCAGCGACGCCCTTGAGCACGGATCCTGCCGCTGCCGCTGCTTGCATGATCGCGCGAGAACGGGTTTCGCGATAAAAACGGCGAGGGAGCGGATTAGGCTGCTTTGAGGAATTAACGAGCAAGACGCCTAACCCTGAAAGGCGTGCTAGGAGCCTCTGACTCGCCACCTTGGAATTCCTCCGGAATCTGGATTACTCGAGTGTGTGGTGTGAGTCTAGAATGGCATAATCACTGAACCATTCTAGGATAGGTTATCATTGGCCCTCAGAGCTCTGAGTGGGTACCACTGGATAGGCGTGATCGACATGTAGTTACCCGATTATTATATCGCACCCACTCACACCTCGGCTTCTCCTTCATAATTTCAGCTTGTATGCCGGTTCCCCGCCCAAACCTTTTTCGTGTCTCATAATTCTTGATGTATCGCGTGGAACTCCCTATAACACGACATACAAAGCCATACACCACTACACAATCGCAGCAGACCGTGGTGAGGAACTTTAGTGTAGCAAAGCTGACTTTAGTACAGTACGTAGATGCCAGGTATTGTACTTAGTCGCCAGGTAAGCAGGCCTGCGGTCCATAGCTGGCGAGGTTGTACCTATTTTCCAACCTCGAGTTTCTTCCCGTCCATCTCGGTGCCTACGTCGAGCCAGCTCCATAATCCAGATCCGGCACGCGTTATTACCTGTGTGACTAGTGCCCACCGAAATTTGCACATCTTACCGCATTGTTCTGTAACGCCCTTTCCGATGTTCCCATCCCAGGTTGTAGGTCAGATCCGAGCCGAACGTTGGCCGTTGACGGTCTTCTTAGGCCGGTGACCGGCGTCAAGTTGCGGTGCTGTGCGTCTCGTCCAATGAAAACAAAAAGAATCACTATGCAGTCGTCACGTCGCTTTCACTCTCGACAAGCCATACAGCAACGGACGATATGCCGACGCTTTGGGTATCTATTCACCCACGTTAACGCGTATCTCGGACTTTCCTGCCATGTGTCCGAACCTCTCGGTATTGAGGCTCCTCGAAACGCGTTCTGCTACATTCCTTCGACCGCGTGAAGCCAAATCGGCGTTGACTGGAAATGGCGAGGTGCGATCCCGCCAGGCAATGTTCGAGTCGACTCAAAAATCGACCAACTATCTGCAAGAACGCATTTCTCTCCTCAGAATCTCGTGACGGGGACACTCATCAGAGATCAATCTCGGCCATCACGACGCCACACATGGTCGCCGTGTTACAGACTCCAGAGTCCAGAAACCGCAGGACGGTTCGTGGAGTCGCGTCGTGATGACAAGCGACGACGCTGCTGCATGCCCCGTCCCCGCCATTGACTGGCGCTTCGTTTCACGCGAAGAGATCGCGCGGCTGGCGCAGCAAGGCTTAGTCGCCACCGCCGCCGATTCCGCCGACCGCCGTTCTATCTGCGACGACAGCAACTTGCGCCGCCGCCGCCTGCGCCGCGTGGCTCGTGAGGCCAGTGCGGAGCTGGCGCGCGTGGTGGCGGAGTGGCGCAACGAGGACTTCCGCCGCCGGGACCCGCAGGCGGTGGCGGTGCTGGCGGCGGAGAGGCATCGGCGCAGCCTCAGCTGCAGCGATCTGGGCGGAATCCGATGTGGCGCAGAGGACGAGCGCGAGGATGGATTATCCTGGGCAAGTGAGGCTTGCGGAAATGGCTTAGAAACGACAGCAGAGGCACAAGAAAGAGCCCACGCTACTAGGGTTAGTAGCAGGCAGGCAGGCTCCAGCACGGCTTCACTATCTGGTTCCCCATCACATGCATTGTGGGGCTCTGACGCATCCCAGCACCAGGGAGGGGTAAGCCCGAGCGTGCTGCTGCCGGAGTTGTGCCCGTTTCCACCAACGGACTGGCGCCATGTGGCGATCGCCGACAGTCCTATCTCCTCCAGCCGTCTCTCTAATTATGACAGAGATAACGCCTCCCTCACTCCCTCTTTATCTCCTACCTCAACAAGTGGTTCACACCAAGGAGCCTAGCTCGTTGCTGCTTGCCAACTGACTTGCTCTGACCACCTCTCCAGTGTCTCCTTATCCTCCAGTATCCCTGCCAGGCTTGGCATTTGCTCCTCTGCTTGTGACCGGGAGGTTCTAGCTATACTACCTAACGACAACCACTCACTCAGGTAGCAGCAGCATCACAAGGAGAATATACGGTACTGGCCTGTGTCAGAACAATAGGGGGGGGGGGGTGACGCCTTGTGTTAGATTAGATCCATCTCACGTCAGGTCAGACTCGTACACTTATGTGCGGTGCATGAGTTGTATCACACGGTTTGATGCGGTTCAGTTAGGAACCGGTCCTGCTGCTGTGGCGATGGCAGATGCTGCACCAACCGTCGATTTGCTCCCGCCGGGCGATCCGACGGTCGTCCCAGGCGGCTGCATGAGACCAGCGACGCCCAAGCACGGATCCCGCCGCTGCCGCTGCTTGCATCGCGCGAAAACGGGTTTCGCGAAGGAATCGGCGACGGAATTGATTAGGATGATTTGAAGAACTAACGAGGAAGAGGCCTAACCCTGAGAGGCGCGGTAGGAGTCACTGACTTGCCACTTTGGATTGGAATTCCTGCGGAATCTGGAATACTGGAGTATGTGGTTCTAGAAAAGGCATACCGTAAGCCCCCGGATATAAGCGCAGGCCTCGGATAAGCGCTGACGCTTATAAAAGGATGACGGCGCTTATATCCGGTCCTCGATTATAAGCCCACCCCTGAAGGCTTACGGATTATAAGCGCCACCCTCTGTTTTGTTTTGCTATAATTGTACTGAAATCGTTGTAACGAAACTCACATTTTCCATTCCCACATGATTGAATTTCGAAGCCCTTCACCTCGCTCGGCTGAGTGCCTGCGCGCCCAGTCAGAATGAGCTGTCGGCAGCGTAAGTTGACTCATCCTGACTGTGTTTGTTGGCAGGGAATCATTCACTGCCAACTGGCGCGAGATTCTCAATTCCAGCCCTGTATAGTTTCGACTCGATTCAAATTGCAAGAACGCGATCTACAATTTGGTGTAAGAAATACGCATTTCATAAATGTCATTATATAAGCGCTGGCGCTTATAAAAATCCTCGATTATAAGCGCACCCCCTAAAAACTGTGTTTTTTTATACCCCCAGGGGCGCTACCATCCGGGGGCTTACGGGTACTGTACCTAGGCTATCATACTCGTGTTGAGAGAAGCTCTGAATGAAAGCGTTGGTATGACTGGTTTGGCATTGTCTGACATTTAGTACCTGAAACCGATCATGTTTTAGCACCCACCACCACCCATAACCTAAATTGCAAACACTCAGTTAGTTTGCCTGTAAATTTATTCCCGCCCAAACGTTGACCTGCCTTTTTGTTGATTCATGACCCCTTTACCCAATCGCAGCAGACCATGGCAAGACATTTACTGCAACAAAGGAGACTTGAGGTGACACTCGCACTTTTGTTGCCGAGCGGAGTACAGTTCGTAGGTGCCAGGTATTTTACATTGTTGCCTGTTAGTCGCCAGTACGCAGCCTGCGGTCTATGGCTGGCGAGGTATTACGATTTCTCAACCTCGAGTTTCTTCCCGTCCATCTCGGTGTCTAAGTCGAGCCAGCCCGACGAGCCAGATCCGGCACGCGTCATTAGGCGTGTGACTAGTGCCCACCGAAACTTGCACCTCTTACCGCTTCGTTGATGCCCACACGGGTGTTTTTGGTTCATAGCAGATTTCAGATCTGTCCTGGATTGACCGTGACTGTTGACCGTCTGTGACGCGGAGCTTGAAGGTGAGGTTCGGCGCGTACAGACCGACAAAAACGAGTAATTAGTTGTGCAGACGTCCCGTCGCCTTCGCTGCCAGACTAACCTTAACCCTCAATGGACTATTTGTCGGCGCGTTATCTATTTACCATGTTAACGCGTGACCTCGGACTTTTCTGCAATGTTTCGGAGCCTCTAGGTGTTGAGGCCCCGCGCCCGTCGTTGGAACGCCATATTCCTTGCACCGCGTGGGAGCAAAGCAGCGTCTGTGAATGGAGATGGCGACGTGCTATCCACGGCAACCGACAGCCCAATTTCGAGTCGACTCTATTAATAATCATCGCCACCTATTCGCAACTACTAATAATCGACCAACGATCGGCGACAGCGCTCGTCTCTCCTCACTATCTCGTCTCGCTCCTTGTGGCTCGTCTCGCGTCTCATTCCTCGTTCGCTGCATATCGTCCTTCCGGCGTTAGTCGCAACGGATCGAGCGGGCCGCCGGTCGTCACATTGAACCTAATACGATCATGCCCCACCCTAGAATTGGCTGCGTACTAACCCGCCTCGATCACTCTCGGCCAGCGCAATGTTAGGCTGGAATAATACTCTCACGGACCGCGAGGTACGGCTGCATGCTGATGGGGTAATGTGGTGTGGAATAACGACTCTACACATGGTTGCCGCGTTACAGATGTTACAGATCCCAGAGTCTACAAGAATTGCAGGACAATTCGTGAAGTCGCGTCGGAATGACGGGCGACGATGCTGCTGCATGCCCCGTCCCCGCTATTGACTGGCGCTTCGTTTCACGCGAAGAGATCGCGCGGCTGGCGCAGCAGGGCTTAGTCGCCACCGCCGCCGATTCCGCCGACCACCGCACGATCCGCGACGACATTGAATCACTCCGCCGCCGCCGCCGCCTGCGCCACGTGGCGCGCGAGGCGAGCGCGGTGCTGGCGCGCGTGGTGGCGGAGTGGCGCAACGAGGACTTCCGCCGCTGCGATCCGCAAGCGGTGGCGGTGCTGGCGGCGGAGAGGCATCAGCGCAGCCTCAGCTGCAGCAACTTGGGCGGAATCCGATGTGGTACAGAGGACGAGCGCGAGTACGGGTTATCCTGGGCAAGTGACGGATGCGAAAATGGTTTAGAAACGACAGCAGTGGCAGACGAAAGAGCCCAGGGTACTAGGGCTAGTAGCAGGGTGGAAGTTCCAAGCAAAGATTCTCAATCTGGTTCCCCATCATGTGCGTCGTGGGGCTCTAACACATCTCGGCACCAGCAAGGGGTAGGCTCGAGTGCTGCTGCCAGAGTTGTGCCCGTTTCCACCAATGGACTGGCGCCACGTGGCACCTGCCGGCAGTCCTCTCCCCTCCAGCCATATCTCCAATCACGACAGAGATAACGCCTCCCACAGTGTTTCTTTATCCCCTAATAAACCCACCAGTTCACTCGAAAGAATATAGTTTGTTGCTGCTGCAGCACTCACCTCCCTGCATCACCTTTTTCCTAGATCTTGTCGCCCTCCACCTCCAGTATTCCTGCTGGTGCCAGTCATTGCAACCTCTGCTTGTCACGCACTCACCTCCCTGCATCACCTTTTTCCTAGATCTTGTTGCCCTCCACCTCCAGTATTCCTGCTGGTGCCAGTCATTGCAACCTCTGCTTGTCACAGGGAGGGTCGATCTAGGTTATCCAACAACCACCACACAAGACGCAGCCTTTTTTAGCAGGATGAAATACAGGCTTCTTCCCGTGTGGTGGTTCTGGGAATCTTAGTGCTACCTTTTTCCCGATGTGGCTCGGGCTCCTAGACTCAAGCAGCAGTGTGCAATGCAAGTGTTTATACTCAGTGTGGTGTGCACCAGGTTTGACATGGGAAGTGATGGGTGTGGAAGGACAGGAAAGTATGCAGGCACTCACTCAAGAATGGATTTCCTTCCCATACCCACAATTTAGTTGCACTGCCATGCCATGACAGCAGGCCCTCGGATTCGTTTTGGGGCACGCTGATCGCTCAGTGTCCCTTGAAGGCCAACGCTGATTTTCAGTGTCGTCGTGTTGAAAACACTGATTTTTCAGTGTACAAAAAATATAAAGGCTGAACAGTCAGTGTTGTTATTCACTGTTACATTGATTGTTATTCCTGTACTCGTCAAGGGACTTTGTTTAGCGAGGAATTTGGGCAATCGTTATGGCTCATGGGCTCAATCATGGCGAAAACGCACTGTAGGTACCGTGGTTGGCTGCCTAGGTAGCAAGTCACGGCGCCAATCACGGCGAAAAGGCAAGACGGGAATTTCAGATTCAGGGTCACACTCGATATAAACACTGAAAAATCAGAGTTCGAAATTAAGAAACACTGAAACATCAGGGTCGTTTAAAAACAAAAGGCTGATGCATCAGGGTCATGATAAAAAACGAGGGTCAAACTTCAGGAATTCAGGGTAAAAATCCTGACTTCTGAGGCCCTGCATGACAGTCAACAAACACGGCTGTGTTAGATTCTACGTAATAATGTTCCACAGCATTCCCTGAGCTCCCAGTGTCCACCTACCGTAAGCTCATCTCCGTAAACTACTTGAGAAACAATATGCTGGAACAAACTTTATGGATTCATACCGTAGATGCATCATGCACTGCATTACACAACACGTCTAAACACACCAGAGTAAAGTCTACTAGATTATTATGTTAGGGCATGAATATATTACCCCCCCCACCCAAGTCCCACCCAAAGCCAATATTCAGATGAAGGCAAAGTTGCTCGAGATGCACCAAGATGCTCATTCCAAATTCACCGATACTGGCTCACTCTAACCCACTGCCTCATCCAACCCCTCCCAACCCAACCAAACCAAAACCTGCCAGCCAAATGCCTTCCCTTCCCACCCAACCCAAACCACTCTACCCTGTTCCGTCCTACCCTGCCCAGCCATCTTTACCTCACCACACCACACCCTACTCAAAACTCCTCAAGCCTACCCTATTCCACCCACTCCGCCTCATCCAATCCTACCCAACCCAAACCATCCCACTCTACGCCGTCCCAACACAGCCTGCTGAAACCAACCCACGCAGCCCCATCCCACTCTACTCCATCCAATTCTTCCTTAACCAATTCCACACTGCCCCATCCCACCCGACCCAACCAAACCCAGCCCACTAAGCACAAATCCGCCCTTCCCTACCCAACCCACTCTGCCTCATCCCACCCTACTCTACCCAACCCAACTCCACACTGCCTCATTTCTAACAAACCCGAGCTAACCCACACTGTCCCATCCCGCCCCACCCTACATTACCCGACCCAGCTTGCCTCATCCCACCCAACCCAGCCCAAACCACTGCCCCATCCCACCCACCGCACCCTATCCAATCAATCTGCCTCATCCCACACCACCCTACTCACCCACACTGCTCTGGGGGGTTGTGAGCGCGAGGCGTGGCTGCCTCTTAGAGGAGAGGCGCTTATTAGGGGAGAGACGCCTACCGCTTAGAGGAGTGGCGCTTATTAGGGGAGAGGCACCTCTTAGAGGAGAGGCGCCTGCTTCCCGATTTCCCGGTTTCCCGGTTTCCCGGCTTGACTGGAGCTGCAGTCCCGGCTTGACTGGAGCTGCAGTCCCGGCTTGACTGGAGCTGCAGTCCCGGATTGACTGGAGCTTCAGTCCCGCCTTGGTTGGAGCTGCCGTCCCACCTTGACTGGAGATGCAGTCCCGGCTTGATTGGAGCTGCAGCTCGCGAAATGGGATGATATACCTCAGCGGACAGAAAACGCGGCCCAATTTCGCGGTTTCGATAGGACAAGGCCCCCCCTCGGGATTGACGAACTCCCGACGACTCCGAGTGGCAAACTGGGGCGAATTGGCAGATCTTTGGGCCCCTGGAGCCCTCGCGATTGTCGACAATCTGACGACCTCGGGTTTCGCTGAGAGAAACCCGAGAAGGACATCTTAGCGGACAAAAAATCACAGCACGCCACGTCGAGCCGTGATTTCAGCGCGGGAACTCGACTGCGCGCCCAAATTTGTCGGTGGCCGATCCACGCGGCAAAAATCTGTCTGTAAAAAAATGATACAGTTGTATGGCATCGCGAGCTGCTCGCCATGTTGGTGTCGACTACGGATCCAACGGCCTAATCCGAGCCACGCGGCACCATCGGTTAGTGCCTTAACAGTGTATAGGTTAAATGAATCTAAAGACATCCCCTAGCGCGCGACAGGAAAGTCAGCGCCGACCACGAGGGGCTCATGGTGGGCTTGCCACGCGGCTCTTCAATATTCCCGGGCCCTTAGGCCATGGAAGTCAGCATGCTGGCTTTTTCGAAGAGAGGCACCAATGATGGGCCCACGACACGTAACGCACGCGCATCCCACCGTGGACGTGCTCAGGCTTACGCCCCTTGAGTGCAGCGCGGCGACCCATTAGCCATGCATGGCTCGTGGCACGTCGGACACTGCGCCGCCGCACGAGAACACATGCATAGCGGCACAAGCATAGGGGGTTGCATGAAGTGCGACAAAATCGGAGTCGCTCACGACCATACCCCTCCGTGACCTTGCGCTGGTGCTCATTCCCTTGTCCATTCCTGCATTCCTTCCTGCTCTCTCTTGCACATAGAATTTTCCGCTCCCTAGCTATCTTCACGAGCGTGGGTTACTCGTGCGCCTACCAATTGATCAAGTCGGCACCGGTAGCATCTACATGGCATACACTACTCAGGTCGGTGTTTAGGTAACCAAACGGTCAAAACGCATCGACGTCGACGTCGGATGTTTTAGGGCAGCATCTCGGCATAGTATCAACAGCTCTACCGACCAAGCAAGATGGGATGAAAGAAACTAACTAGGTCGGCGACGCATGGCCAGAGGATAGCCTAGAGCCCAACCCATCCCACCCCCTACCGACTCTGTAGACGCCGGCATCAAAGCGCAGCTGGAACGCCTCGAGCTCGCTGCCGAGTTAGAAGCACTTGAGAGAGAATTCGAAGAAGACGCCTGAGCAACTCATCGGGCGTACACCGCACTCGTGACTCAGTGTTGTCTCTGGTGGTCCATCCTTTACCTCGAACACAGTCGACGGTAGAGCAAACTACGAGCGGCCGTATGGCCGACGTCGACATGTCCGACGTTGGTCCCCCAACCGACCACAATCAGACCTCTACCCCCGAAGAGACGCTCAAGTTACTCTATGATCTTGACGCACTGACACAGATTCCAGAAGGGGAGTTCACCAAGGACATTCCCCCACCACCGATAGGGGAGTTTACGAAGCCAGCTAGTAAGTCGACCCCAACGCAAGATGGGCAGCCTGGACCTTCGTCGGTACCGGCCGGCTCAGGAAACCAGGTTGATGACGAGGAGGAGGAGGAGGAGGAGGAGGAGGAGGAGAGCGACGACGAATACGATGAGCGTCCTCCGCGTAGCACGAATCCGCGCACCTTGGAAGAACGCCTCCGGCGGGAACATGAATACATAGATAACCTGCTCGAACAGGACGAGGAGGAGGACGAGCAAAACATGGCGGTGCCACGCGAACAGTGGAGAGTGGCAGACTTCGTCGAGGACGACATGGTTTACGCCTGCATCGACGTGCTGGTCATAGACGCCCTACACCACCTACAAACCTTGGAGAAGAATAGCACGCTGAGGCTGTACACCTCGTTCATCTACCACTACATCCGGGACAACAAGAAGAAGAATTGGGACAAAGTGGCCGAGGTCCCTCGGGAGTACATCTGGCTGCACGGCCCTAAGGTAACCGAAACCCGGCTGCGCGCCTACGTGAAGTTCATGATACGTGAGTGTAAGCTCGATGCCGAGTCGATCGAGGAGGGGAACAATGCCTCGCGAACCCAGCCTGTGCAAGGTACAACGGTGCACACGCTCCTCGGGCGCATAAAGGCATGCCAGATGGCGGCGAGAGTGGAGGCGACGCTCTACCGGGAGAAGGAGCTGAGCATCATGCGGGAGATCTTGGTGGTCAGATCGGAGGTGCGGTTTATGGTCCGCACCAAGAACGAGAGGGACATAAAGTAAGTTTGTCGACACCGCCAACCTCTGTCCACATCACTCTGAAGTCGACGCCGTCAAACTAAAAATACTATGTGGCTTTGTGGGCAGGAATTGTGCCGACCGGCGTCGCGGCACCATCGGCGATACCTACACCGCCGAACAGTTCCGCCAGATCATGGGCGGCGACGTCGTGGAACCCGCGGGCAACCGCTCCTTCGTAGACGCTGTGGCGATTTCTGCTCACCAAGGCACTCATGCTACTCTCCCACCACACTCTCCTGCGAGGCGCCAGCATCCGCGAGATCACGCTCCCCGACATCTTCTTGTACCGACTAGCTAGCACCTCGTTGGTGAACCCAGAGAACCAGCCGATCGTCATGGTGATCGCCGCACGGAACTCGAAGACTTCCAACGATGCACGTCTTCAGCAAAGCTACGCGGCGCGACACTTGGAAGCGGAGTTGTGCGCCGTCGGCGAGACCGGCCTGTGGTTGCACTTCATCCTCGACCAGATCGGTCAGTTCAATGGCGTCGACTCCCTTCCGCCGCTTGACACCACCGAACGCGAGCGCTGGTACAAGAAGCACCTCTTCTTCGCCCGCAACGACAAAGAGCAAAAAGAGCTCTCCGCCGCCAGCCACCAACATTGGACACGACAAATGTGGACGACCAACAAGGTGTTCTGCAAGCGGAACGTACACGCCGCTCGCGTCGGAGGTGCGCAGGAGCTAGCCATCGAAGGGATGCCTCGCGCCGAGATCGCCGAGCTGGGTCACTGGGCACTCGACAAGATGACGCGTGCTTACATCACAGCCATTCCCGTTGGGGTGGTGATGAGGAAGGCCGGCTACTCGGGTTGCAAGCAAGACTACTTCTTGGGTCGCAGCAGGGTCGAGCCCTCCGACAAACTCTTGGACATCATCACCGAGCACATCTTCCCCGACGTGGATGCTCTGCTGCGCGATGTATATTAGTCGACGCCGACAATGTCCTTATGTCGCCATAGCTTTGTTGGCTGCCCAACACCTTGCTAACCCTCATCACTTGCCGACGTGCAGGCAGAAACGTGTGCTGCCAAAGGGAGCGATGCCGACAAAGCCGCCGTACACTTCTGGCGTACCGTCCAGATGATGCGGACCTCGCGGTGAAGCTCGTCCGCACCCCTTGGCCCCCGTACATCCAAGGTTCCAAGCTCTGCCGGATTGCCCTCTTTCAGCACTGGGCGAAAAGGGTCGAGAACATCGACACCGAAACGATCAACAAACGCCGGGACCCAACCCTCATTCAACCAGAGGTAAACCGTTGCTATAGTCGGCGTCGATCTGTTACGGGTGTATTCTAAACTATTCTCGCCTTTCCGCCTTGTGCTGCAGAAAACCTCCGTCCGCTTGGACACCGAATACCATAACATGTCCCTCAAGGAGACGCTGAAGTATGAGAGGGAGCGCTCCGCAGTCGAGAAGATTGACCTTCAGGAGGAGATCGAGAAGCGCGACGATACCATCGCGACGCTGACCACCGAGATAACCCGTCTCACCAAGGCACTCCGTGTGTCAGACGCACGGAGGATGTCGGCGGCGCCGCCGCCGGGGAACGAGCAAGCGCCGAGCGAGAGTGGCTCCGCAGCCCTGGCTCGCCACATCCAACCTAGTTGGGCTTTCCAAGCCTATCGGCGACGTCCGACAGGTGGCAATTGGGGAGGTGCTTTCGCGTATCCTTGCTCGAGCTCTCTGCATCTCGCTCCGCCCTGCGATGGCTTCCTACTTTCTGCTGTGCAACCAGCTGGGAGCGGGCACCAGGGCTGGGGTGGAGATTCTTACTCATTCTTTCCGGTCAGCGCTGGCCGCTCACCCCGAATGGTGTGCGCTGCAGATAGACGTCGCGAACGCCTTCAATTCGTTTCACTGTCATGCGATGTTTGAGGGGCTGCGGGAGTCGCCTTTCTTAGGGTTGATCCCATTCTTGCGTGTTTTCTACAGGACACCTAGCGACCTATACCTCCGAGCGGGCCCTTTCATACAGAGCCTTGAGTCGGCACGAGGATCGCGGCAGGGGAACCCGCTCGGCCCTTTTCTTTTCGCGTTCATGCAGCAACATGTGATGTAGTCGGTGACTAGAGAGTTCAAGGACCTACTTTTCCTAAGTTATGCAGACGATACCTTATCTTGGGACCAACAGCTAGGATTCTAGAGGCTTTTGGGGTGCTGCGGGAGCGATTGGAGTGGGTGGGGCTGGAGGTGCAGGCGCACAAGTGCCGGTTTTGGGAGCGCGAAGGCGGGGATGTGGAGCGGGCACTGCCATTAGGGATGCAGCGGGTGGAGGAGGGTCTCACTGTGGTGGGCGTGCCTATTGGGGAGGAGGATTGGGAGTTGGTCCGGTTACGGGAGCGGATTTGACAGTTGAAGATGCCATTGTGATGGCTCCCCCTGCTCGACCACCCCCAGATGGCTTCACATCTCCTCGCCATTGCAGTTTCAGCACGGCCGATGTACCTGGCCCGGACTATGCCGTCGCGTCCGGAGGTGGTGGACGCCTTTAGGGATTGGGATAGCAAGGATTGCTTTGAGCAGCTTTTCCCACCTGGCACTTGGGAGCAGGACCCCGACCGGTCTAGGCGCGCACGCATGCAGGTGCATCTCCCTGTGCGACTCGGAGGGTTTGGGATCCGGGCGGTTGCCTCTTTGAGTCCGCTGTCCTATGTTTGTGGGTGGGCGCAGGCCGCGCGGGATATTGCACAGTTGGGGGTGGCGGGCCAGGAGGCGATGTTTGCCGAGTACCTCACCACTTCGCCAGGGGCAGAGTTTCTTGACCCGTGGTTTGCCAAGGCTATTGAGCAGCTGCCTGCGACTATAAGCCAGGAGATGCCGGGCTTACCTCTGTGTGTAGCGGCCCCTCCTCTTCGGCTTTTCCAGGCGCGGCAGCGGCAGTTGGCTGTAGAGGAGCTCCAGGCACTGTGCCGCTCGGCTCATGACAATGCCACCCTGGCCCGTTTCACATCCCTTCAGGGCCCGGGGGCTGGTGCATGGGTTTCGGCGGTCCTGGCTCACTCAGATCTCACATTCACTACGGCTGAGTGGGGCATTGCTGCTGCTATACGGCTCGGGCTCCCAATTCAGCAGCTGCAGGTGGCGGGGAGGTGTGTTTGTGGAACAGCGTATGTCGACCCAGCAGACCCGCATCATGCCCTGAGATGCAAGCACCAGCACGGTCCATCTTGGGTGCATGATGAGGTGAAGTTTGCGGTGGCGAGGATCTCTAAGGCGACAGGGGGGGTGGTGACGATGGAGGATAGTGTGATGCTGTCGGGGAAGCGGGTTGACGTAGCAGTGCGACGACCAATGGCAAGGGAGGCTCACGCTCCAAAGATCAGCGTCGCGGACCTGCTATCGCTATCTCCATCTCTGCTAGGGCAGTGCGGACGTTCTATAGGTGTGGCGGCAAAGAAATGGGAGCGTCGCAAAATGAGTGATTACGCGCCTTTGCTTGCACGCAACCGGGGCGTGCAGTTCACCCCTTTGATAGTAGAGACGTGGGAGTGTCTCGGCGGTTGTTTCCGGCGGTGGCTTCGACAGCAGGGGGACGCGCACGTGGGGCTAGCTGTGTCACGGGGGGCTTGTCGGGAGGACGACACTTCGTTTTCGGCTTATCTTTTGGGGTCTCTGAAGGCACTCATCGGGGTGGCGTTACAACGGGCGCAAGCTCGTGTCATCCTTCTTCGGGCAGCGTCTTCCATGGGAGGGATGAATGTGGATTTGGTGGACCGGGAGAGAGATGACGTCGAGGTGGAGGGCGGGGCTCTTTGGGTGGAGGCCCCGTACATGGTGGATGCGCAGATGTGACTGAGGGGGGGTGAAATGGGGTGCGGGATGGGGTGTCTTGATGGGGTGTCCTGACTGGGTGTTTTGATTGGGTATTTTGATGTTGCTTTTTATGGGCGTTGCGTTGTCAGAATAACGAACGAGAGAGAATGAACTATGAAAGAGTTGGGTACAAGTACTAACCCTAATTGGGTTGTACCCCTTATGGGCTACCCCACTATAGCCTACACAAAGAAATCTATATAACAATTTGACACACCCCCATAGGCCAAGTGGGGGAGAACAAGTGGTCACAAGACCAGTCAAGAAAAGCAAAGCAAGCTCAGGGTGGATCACAAAGTCACCACACATTCTGAGCATAAGCAAAGGCTACAAGGCTAGTTCACATGCAGAGTTATATAAAAGAGAACAAACAGTACAGTGATCATACCCTAGCAAGTGTAAGCATGCAGGTATACATATAGATCACAGTACAAGAAAAGTCACGAAGTGAGCAAGTGAGGCAAAGTAGGCACAAGGCCTAAAAAAGTACAGAAACGGTGATGATCACCAGACTGAAGTGCCTTGGTGAATATACCAGCAGTGTTGGCCCTAGTGGCTACGTAAGCAAGACGAAGCTGACCACACTGCTGCAACTCTCGAGCAAGGAAGTAATGCAGAGCGATGTGCTTCGTTCTGTGCTCCAGTCTGTGCTCCTGACACAAGGCAATCATGGCCTTATTGTCTACGTAGAGCACTGGAGAAGAACGAGGCCGCTCTCCCAAGTCGGTCAGCAGGTAGGTGAGCCAGCGTAACTCCTGTGCAGCCATGGCCCCCGCGTAGATCTCAGCCTCACAACTGGAACTGAGAACAGAAGACAAGCGGGTAGACCGCCAAGAAACAGAGCCGCAGCCAAGGCTGAAAGTGTAACCCTGTGACGACCGCTGTGTAACCCAAGAAGCGTTTGCGTGTCCAGTGAGGACAACTAGACCCCGTCCTCCAAGCACGAGCCCCATGCCCGATGTACTGCACAAGTAGCGCAACACCCTCTTAGCGGCCTCCCAGTGCTCTGGTCGGTGTCTCCCGAGCGCAACGTAGCGTGCCAGGATGCTAAGAGGGTAGGCAAGGTTAGGTCGAGTGCAGGTCATCAGGTACATGAGGCAGCCCACAAGCTCTGGATATGGGCCACACGCCTCTACGGACTCGTCCGAAGGTGGAGCTGAAAGCGAGTGACCGGTAGGCAGAGGAGTGGACTGTGGCGAGGAGTACCAGAAGCCGAAGCGCTGAAGGACCTGGTGCACCATGTGTGACTGAGTCAGGGTGATGGTGCGCCGTACTCTGTCCCGGGTGATCGGCAAGCCAAGATAGCTACGCAGCTCACACAGGTCAGTGCAGGTGTGTCTCTTCTGCAGCTCCGACTTCACAAGGGCCAGTGCCTCAGTGTCAGCAGTGGCAAAGACCAAGTCGTCGACGTACACGAGGACGTAGAACGGCGGCAGCGAAGTGTCGGTGCGTAGAAACAGCGACGGGTCAGCAGTCGAAGTAGCAAACCCAAGGGCCGCAAACGTCGTCCTCAGTGTGTCGTGCCACTCGCGGGGCGGCAGGCGGAGACCGTAGACTGGCCACTGGAGGCTCCACTGGGTACCTGCAGGAAACGACCCAGTGAAGCCAGGTGGGCGGCGCAGCCAGATCTCCTCGTGCAGGCTGCCCTGCAAGAAAGCTGTGTTGAAGTCAAGAGAGTGCAACTCGTAGTCACGCAGAGCTGCGACGTGCAGTAACACCCAAAAAGTTGTCATCTTCGGGGTAGGGGAGAAGGTCTGGAAGAAGTCAACTCCCTGTTGCTGACTGAAGCCTTGTGTAACGTAACGAGCCTTGAAGGCAGGCGGAGAACCCGGCGGCCGCTTCACCCTGAAAATCCACATGCCATCGACTATGTCTGCCCAAGGAGGGGGAACTGCGTCGGCGTAAGTGCCTGTGGACTTCCAGGATGCCATCTCTGCGTCCATGGTTGTCTGCCACTGAGAGGAGTAGGGACCCGTAATCGCCTCTGCGTAAGAGCGCGGGGTCGGGATGTCTGGTGCATCCGGGTCTCCCTCAGGTGCAATCAGCATGGACACGAGATGAGGTACAGCAGCTGCAAAACACTCAAAGTCCTCCTGCCTGTCCTCAAAGACGTC